CTGCAGTGAGCTGTTCCACGATGTAATCCAATTTCGCTCAAAGGTGTTATTCTGAGCAGGCCTCTCCTTGATGTAACCCAATATACGCTCAGAGGTGTTATTCTGAGTATTCACGGCAGCTGTAAGCGTCTCCAAGATCTTAACCATGCTGCTCTCAATGAGCCCGTTCTGAGAAGTCGCGCCTCGTCCCATCGTTTCAATCCCAGCGGGCAGCCTTGGGGGGGTTTGAACAGCCGGTTCCGCTTTCTTCTCTTCAAATATTTTTATTGTGAAGCACAAATAACAATCACAAATTGTCCCATAGACTGACATTGCTTCCTTTTTACAGTTTTGGCATCAAGAAAAGGGGAAAAACAAATCGAACAACAACAAAAAACAAAAACAAACCCAAACAACAAAAACAAGAAAAAACAAAACGTACCAAAAAGGGCGGTCAAAAAAACAACAACAAAACAAACAAACAAAAAAAACCCCTCCTCCCTACACCCTTCCCTTATCCCAGAGTGCTATCAGCTTATTTTAAGCAATGGTGAAGTCCACATAATAGCTCTCATTTGTTCATAGTTTCTGGGTGCTCAATGAGCGGCCTCCAAATCTGATCAAAGTCCTCCAGTTTGTCATTTAAAATGTAGTGTACTCTTCCAGATGAAGAGTATCTGTCAGTACTGAAATCCAGGCTTTCAAGGAGGGCACTTCTTTTCCCTTCCATAGGAGGAGAATCAGTCTCTTTGCACACATCAGGCCATAGGCCAGGAGGGGAATCTGTGTGCTCTTAAGTTTTTTAGATTGTCCTGATAGTCCAATAAGAATCAAAATAGGGTCAGGGTCTAACTGCACATCAAAAATTTTGGGAAAAAAAAAGAAAAAACTGAAGCCCAAAAACTTTGTAATTTGGTACACATTACAAAACTGTGAAGCAGATCAGCTTCTGCACATTGACATTTATCACAGATGGGTGACGATTCAGGAAATACCCGATGTAATCTCGTCTTCGAGTAGTGCAATCTGTACAAAATTTTAAACTGAATGAACCTATGTCGGGCGTTGATAGAGCAGGAATTAACATAACGGAGCCCTTTAGTCCAGATATCATTATGAATTTCTGACCCTAATTCCTTTTCCCAAGCTGATTTTATTTTACCTGTATCCTTCTGCCGGAGTGGCTGTAATATCTCATATATAAAAGCAACCGCATGCTTTTCTGTTATACAATCCGCCAGGCATTGGTCAAGCTTACCTGGAGTTGCAAACTCAAATTGTTGTAGTTAGGACCTTACATAGCTCCTTATTTGAAGGTATCTAAAAAGATCACAGGCTAATAAATTGTACTCCTTAAGCTGTTGAAATGAAGCAAAAGAGCCCTGAAAATACAGGAGTCCCACATTTCGCAACCCCATTTCCTTCCAGTGATCAAATGTCCCATCTAAAACTCAGGGTTTGAATGCAGGATTAGCTGTAATAGGTGTCAAAAGCGAGAAGGCTCTGAGTCTATAGTCTTTCACGATCTGTCTCCAGATTTGAATTGTATTGTGAATAACTGGATTACAGTTGTAGTACGTCCTTTTAAAACGAACAGGAGACAATGCAATTTCACCGAGAGAATAAGGCATACAGTCCTCTCGCTCCATGTCCAACCAACTTCCCATTATAACTGTATCATCTAGCCAATAAGCTATGTATTGCATATTAGCTGCGAAGTAGTAATTTTTAAAGTCGGTTCCGCTCTCTTAATTCTCTGATAAGCCAGGGCCAAGCCAGCTCCGATCAGCAAAAACCCTGTTAGCATGGTTCCGAATAGATATCTTCAGCATCCTCGATCGACAGTCCCGCCAGGCACACGACCCTCCATTTCTGTATCCGGGAGGGAAAGTCCCTCCAGGGCACTCAGGCTCTCCCGAGCCCAGACTTCTCGTTGAGAAAAGGGTGTCAATAGCATTCAGAGACCAATTGATCAAATCCATAATTCTCTTTAGGTTTTAGAGACAGAGTGTGAGAGACTGTTCAGGGAAAGTAATGCAAAAAAGACACGAGACTAGACAAAGACACAAGAACTAAGCAGGAAAGACAAGGGAGAGGAGAAGAAGTGTGTCCGCCACCTCCGAGAGCCAAAAGGAAAGAGCCATAATGAACCAGAGAGAAGTGAGTGTCCAGCTACTGCCAAACTTTATTTATCTAGTGCCAAACCCAAACAACAGTTGCCTTAAAGCAACTGGTAAAGAGCTTTTCATGAGATGCACTTCAACTGGTAGCTGAAAAGTCTGGGGACTCTGATCTTTACTCCAACTTTCTTTTTTTTTTTTGTAGCCCCAGGGTGACTGTGGCTACAATGTAGCTGCCATCACCAGTGTGTGAATGTGTGTGTGAATGGATATGTAAAGCGCTTTGGGGTCCTTAGGGACTAGTAAAGCGCTATATAAATACAGGCCATTTATCATTTGTATTTTCATTGATTTTTTTTTCTTTTTTCCCCAAGTACTGATGGATGCTTCAGTGGGGAGAAGAACTTACTCTAGAGTAGCGCTCCCTTTTCATTGAAACAGAGCAAATCTGGGAGATACCACTCTATTCCAAATGAGATAAAGAGGTGTTTCTGTGGTTGTCGTGTTGGTGCAAATGCAGTTTTATATGTCACAGTTGGGAGAGTTGTACTGTAACAGATCAAGCTTGTCTAGCTCTACAAAATTACTGTTAGTCATAGAAAAGATCAGAAATGAAGACAAGCATCTTAATGAAGCAGGATTTTCTATATGAACTTCTCTGTGTGGAATGTTTTACTCTTCTGTTAATACAAAGCTGAGAATAAAGCAGCAGTTTGTTTGATTGTTTATTGGTTTGTTTGTGTGTTATTCCCAGTCCAACATGACTTTCTGCCGTCGGATGGGGATTGTTGGTCTGATAGTTAAGTTTGTGGTTGGGGGGGGGTGTATGTGGAACATTGAAGTTTCAAAGGAAGAGAAACCGAAAGTTCAGAGCTTGAAACAGGAGGTGGGAGCTAATGCTGTGCTGTGAGGAAGAACTCATCAGAGAGGGCTGTAATTGCTCCTAATATTCATTAAAAATTTATATTTTCCCTCCTTTCACTGCTGTGTTCCTTTGCTACAGATTTTTTTAGACTTTTTTTTCTTTACCTCAGGCTTTACATGCATTTCCAAGTGTTAATTTAAAAAAGTCCTTAATACTGTGTTTGAATGGATACAAACACAGTATTATAACTAAAGGAAAAGGAGAAAAGGAACTGTGAGGGAGAAAACTGAAATTGAGAAAGGCTGATGGAAAAATGTAAAGAAGAGTGTGGAATACGCCAGGCGTTGTTATGACAGCTGACTCAGTCTCACAGTCTGACAGCTCACGAGCCCAGCTGATCTCTCTCTGGCCGCTCCTCCTCGTCTCACTATAAACACAGCGGAGGGAGACCATCATCAGTCCATAAACAACATCAGCTGTTCTTACCGGCCTCGCAGCGCCGCCCTGTTGAGCCTTCCGCTCCACTCCTCCCCTGCAGCTGCGCCCGGGGCCACGCCTCCGCCACACACCCCCACCGCCCGTTCGAGGCCGGGGAGCCGTCCGGCCGAGCCAACTCCCCCCCCCCGCGAGCGAGAGAGGAAATCGGCCACTGCCATCTGCGCCCCCGGCCTATGGATCACCTTGAACTTAAAGGGCTGCAACGCCAGATACCACCGGGTGATCCGGGCGTTGGCATCCTTCATGCGGTGGAGCCACTGCAGCGGGGCGTGGTCCGAACAGAGGGTGAATGAGCGTCCCAGGAGGTAATAGCGCAGGGAGCCGACCGCCCACCGGATGGCCAGGCACTCCTTCTCCACGGTGCTGTACCGGCGCTCGCGCTCTGCCAGCTTCCGGCTGATGTATAGGACAGGGCGGTCGGCCCCCCTCACCTGCTGGGACAAAACGGCTCCCAGCCCTCTGTCCGAGGCGTCAGTCTGCAGAACAAAAGGGAGGGAAAAGTTAGGAGTGTGAAGCAGCGGCTCCCCACAGAGAGCCTTTTTCACCTGCACAAACGCCGCCTGGCACGGCCCCGTCCACTGGACCAGATCCGGGGCACCCTTTCGAGTGAGATCGGTCAGGGGGCTGGTTAGCTGCGCAAACCCCGGCACAAAGCGACGATAGTAACCCGCCAACCCCAAGAACCGTCTCACCTCCTTTTTCGTCCTGGGGCGCGGGCAGGATGCGATAGCCGCCGTCTTCTCCACCTGTGGACGCACCTGCCCGCCCCCCAGGTGGTACCCCCTCCGACCGGGACTGCGTCCGCACGCAGCGTATGCTGCCGCCTACCTGGATGACGTGATCATCCACAGCGACACCTGGGCGGAGCATGTGCTGCGGGTGGCCGCGGTCCTGGAGTCCCTGAGGGGGGCGGGGCTCACGGCCAATCCGAAGAAGTGCGCGGTTGGACGGAGGGAGGTGCAGTATCTGGGGTACCACCTGGGGGGCGGGCAGGTGCGTCCACAGGTGGAGAAGACGGCGGCTATCGCATCCTGCCCTGCGCGCCCCAGGACGAAAAAGGAGGTGAGACGGTTCTTGGGGTTGGCGGGTTACTATCGTCGCTTTGTGCCGGGGTTTGCGCAGCTAACCAGCCCCCTGACCGATCTCACTCGAAAGGGTGCCCCGGATCTGGTCCAGTGGACGGGGCCGTGCCAGGCGGCGTTTGTGCAGGTGAAAAAGGCTCTCTGTGGGGAGCCGCTGCTTCACACTCCTAACTTTTCCCTCCCTTTTGTTCTGCAGACTGACGCCTCGGACAGAGGGCTGGGAGCCGTTTTGTCCCAGCAGGTGAGGGGGGCCGACCGCCCTGTCCTATACATCAGCCGGAAGCTGGCAGAGCGCGAGCGCCGGTACAGCACCGTGGAGAAGGAGTGCCTGGCCATCCGGTGGGCGGTCGGCTCCCTGCGCTATTACCTCCTGGGACGCTCATTCACCCTCTGTTCGGACCACGCCCCGCTGCAGTGGCTCCACCGCATGAAGGATGCCATGAGGAAGATGGCCGGGGCCCCGAACAGGCCAAACGGAAGCGTCACGAACTGGTACAAACCGTACGGAGTGGAGAAGGCCGTTTTCTCCCTGGCCTCGGCAGACAAGGGAATCTGCCAATAGCCCTTGGTTAAGTCCAGTGTCGTGAAAAAGCGGGCCGTGCCTAACCGGTCCAGGAGCTCGTCGACCCGAGGCATGGGGTAGGCATCAAAGCGTGACACTTCGTTCACCCTGCGATAGTCGACACAGAACCGTATAGACCCATCCTTCTTCGCCACCAGAACGATGGGGCTACACCAGGCGCTGTGCGACTCTTCTATTACTCCCATCCTCAGCATTTCCGCCAATTCCCTCTGCACGATTTTTCGCTTATGCTCCGGGAGCCTGTAGGGCCGTGAACGCACCGTCACGCCGGGCTGCGTCACGAAATGGTGCTCGATGAGGGACGTCCGGCCGGGCAGGGGGGAGAACACGTCCGCAAAACGCTGTTGCAACGCGACAACATCCGCTCTCTGGGCCTGTGTGAGATGGTCATCACAAGGGAGGGAGGTGGGAATGATAGAATTTGGCACCTCAGGCCCCAACTCATCTCTCTCCTTCACCAAGCTCACCAGAGAAGCGGTTTCAACCTCTCGCCACAGTTTGAGGAGATTGAGGTGATAAATCTGCGTGGCTCCTCCCCTGTCCGACCGAGCGACCTCATAGTCCACGTCCCCGACTCGCCGTGTGACCACAAAGGGTCCTTGCCACTTGGCGAGCAACTTCGAGCTGGAAGTAGGGAGTAACACAAGCACTTTATCTCCCGGTGAAAATTGCCTGAGCCTAGCCCCTCTGTCATACAGGCGTTGCTGACGCTGCTGAGCCTGGAGCAAATTCTCCCGTGACAACCTCCCCAAAGTGTGGAGTTTTGCTCTCAGGTCCAACACGTACTGGATCTCATTTTTGGCGGGGCTCGGACCGTCCTCCCAGCTTTCTTTAATCAGGTCGAGCACCCCACGTGGCCTCCTGCCGAACAGCAGTTCAAAGGGAGAAAATCCCGTGGAGGCCTGGGGCACCTCCCGCACTGCGAATAACAGAGGGTCTAGCCAGTGATCCCAATTGCGTTCATCCTCGTTAATGAACTTCCGAATCATGGACTTTAAAGTCTTATTCAGCCGCTCCACCAGCCCGTCAGTCTGAGGGTGGTAGACACTGGTCCGAATAGATTTAATGCCCAGTAATTCGTACAGTTCCCGCAGTGTACGAGACATAAACGACGTGCCCTGGTCAGTCAGTATCTCTTTCGGGATTCCGACTCGGGAGATGACCTGAAACAGTGCCTGCGCCACACTCTTTGCAGAGATGGTGCGCAGCGGAACTGCTTCCGGGTACCGCGTTGCGTAATCCACCAGGACTAACACAAAGCGGTAGCCGCGTGCACTCCGGTGAAACGGCCCGATGAGGTCCATGCCGATGCGCTCAAACGGGACCTCAATGAGGGGGAGAGGGCGCAGCGGCGCCTTCGGTATGGCCGGCTGGTTAACAAGTTGGCAGTCCGGGCAGGACGCGCACCAGCGGCGCACATCCGCTCGGATGCCCGGCCAATAAAATCGGGCCGTTATTCGCTCCAGAGTTTTCTCATAGCCCATATGCCCTGCCATGGGGTTATAGTGGGCCGCCTGGAAAAGCGTTTCCCGGCGGCCCTGCGGCACCAACAACTGGGTGTGTGTTTCCTCTGTCTGAGTGTCACGACTCACTCGATATAATCGGTCGTTTAATAAGACGAAACGCGGGTAGGTCTGCGCGGCCTCAGGGCGCACCACGTGACCATCAATAGCCATCACTTGGTCAAAGGCTGAGCGTAGGGTGCCGTCACGAGACTGCTCCAGTGGGAAATCACCCATGGGGGACACTTCCGGGGCCGGCGGGACGTCCCGTGAGGGACCCGCCGGCTCCTCCCCCCCGGAGTCAGTGTCGGACGACCCCGCGTCACCGCTGAACGCCGCGCACACGCTACACCCCGCTTCCGGTCGTGATCGCACCCCCGCGTACTGCCCCAGTAGCTGATGAAACCCCGGCCAATTGGTACCCAGAATCAGGGGGTGCGACAGGCGCGGGCTAACCGCCGCCGTTACTCTATGCGTTTTGCCCTTATACTTTAATAACAGCGGCACTATGGGATACCTGTGAATGTCACCATGCACACACCTCACCTCCACCCATTCTGCCTCCAGCAATGCCCCGGGGCGAACCACGCTTTGGTGTACGAGGGTCTGCGTGCAGCCCGTGTCCACCAACGCCTGGCGTATACCCCCTCGAGTCCTTACCGGAATACTGTATGTCCCTCCTGGACCGGGGGAGGGTGCTGGGGCGCCAGCAACACGAAACACCTGCCCCACTTCCATAAGCGGACAATCCCTCCTCAGGTGCCCCGGCTGCCCGCACTTCCAACACTCCGGCCCCGGCGTCTGTGCTGCTCTCCGTGGCTCGGGGGCGGCTCCACTTGGCTCGGTTCCCCTGGACGGCACCAACGCCGCGAAAGGGTTAGTGGGGCTCAGCGCCGGCAGCCGTTCTGCCTGCCCTGGTGTCGGCACACGGCGCCTCGGGGCCGGCACTGGGGCCTGTTTGTTCGGCCTCCGCCCGGCGTCCCCGGGTTCCCCTGCTCCAGCGGCAAGGTGGTCCTCCGCCAGCGTCACCGCTACCTCCAAGCTTGCGGGCCGGTGGCACCGGACCCATCTCGCCGTCTCCGCTGGCAATCCCTCCGTGAACTGCTCCAGCACCACCTTGTCCACCAGCTTCGTCTCCCCCTCCGATGTCCCCGGTTGCAGCCAGCGTACCGCCGCGTCGCGCAGCTGCCGGGCCCAGGCGAATGGTCGGTCCGTTGTAGCCAGCCGACAGGCCCGGAACCGCCGGCGGTGGTCTTCGGCGGTGAGCCCCAGCCTGTCCACCACCGCCCGGCTCACGTCCGCGAAGCTGCTCCTCGACGCCGGAGGCAGACTCAGGGCCGCTGTTTGTGCCTCCCCGGACAGCAGGGGAAGCAGCCGCGGAGCCCACTCCTCCCGCGGCCATTGGCAAGCCTCCGCCGTGGCACGGAAGGTCTCCAAGAAAACCTGTGGGTCGTCCCCGTCCCCCATCCGGGGCACCGCCACCGACAGTGGCGAGGGCTTCGGCGTGGCAGCGGCCCCGACCAGCCGCTCCAGAACCTGCGTCTGCCGGTCCGTCTGCTCCCGCAGCGCGGCCAGGTGGGCGCGCTGGTCGGCCGCCTGGTCCCGGCTCATCGTCGCCATCTCCGCCAGCATCTGCGCCAAGAATTGCAGAGGCTGGGCGGGTGGCGCGGCCTGTGGGTCGGACATTCCCCCACCGGCACTATCCTGGGTTTCGGCACCACTTGTGGAATACGCCAGGCACAAACACACGCACACACAGGTATGTACTGCCAACTTCCACATTTATTCAGTCTTGTTGTTATGACAGCTGACTCAGTCTCACAGTCTGACAGCTCACGAGCCCAGCTGATCTCTCTCTGGCCGCTCCTCCTCGTCTCACTATAAACACAGCGGAGGGAGACCATCATCAGTCCATAAACAACATCAGCTGTTCTTACCGGCCTCGCAGCGCCGCCCTGTTGAGCCTTCCGCTCCACTCCTCCCCTGCAGCCGCGCCCGGGGCCACGCCTCCGCCACAAAGAGTAGAGAGAGTAGAGAATCATAAAAGCACAAAGTCAAGAAAGACAGAGAAAAAGAAGGTGGTGAAAGATATGACTAAAGGTCAGGTGAAGATGGGAGGGAAACTTCATTTCAGCTCATAGCGTGTGGCTCAGCCAATAGCCTTATAAATTCATCAAAATAATTATCCATAAAAAAGTGCTGCAAAGTCAGCCTGCATGTCTGTGAGTGCACAAGAAGGACAGCAAGAGAGAGAAATGCTTTTATGAGTTGGGCAGAGGAATACATTGATTTCATAAAGGGCATAAAGGGATCTGTTGACCATTTGAACATGAGATCAATGCAGGGGGAGATGAAAAAGATGACATTTAACCTGATTTGTGCCCCTGGGCAGGAAGGACCTCTGCAGAAAGCCACACTGCCTGCTTCCTTTCTCTGTGAGTCCACACTGCTGTCTTCATGTGGGAGAAATTAGACAAATCACAAATCTGCTTCCTCCTTTTGACCATTTATATCACAATAAACTGGAAACATCTTACAAGTCATTCAACGTAAGAATGACAACAAGCATTACGTAGCGGGGTACGGTCTGTGGCTCAGCTCCAGAGCAGACGGCCGGCTAACCCAGCTGGAGGTCATCATCAAATCATGCCTCCCCTGTTTGAGAAGCACGCTGGGAACAATAAGGGGAGAGGAGCTATAAGTGAGCTGTCACCCTCACAGTCAGAGGCGCTGATAACAGCCTGGAAATGCTTACTTATAAATAAAGAACTGTGAGCAGTGACACACTGTGTGTGTGTGTGTGTGTGTGTGTGTGTGTGTTGTGTGTGTGTGTTTGTGTGTGTGTGCGTCGTGTGTGTGTGTGTGTGTGTGTGTGTGTGTGTGTGTGTGTGTGTGTGTGTGTGTGTGTGTGTGTGTGTGTGTAGTGGTGCGCAGAATCGACACCAGCTTGCATTATGCATAGTGATAAACATACAGACAAGTTTATCAGCATTTATAGTTTATCCAGACATAAGTATCTAAAAAAATGAGGAAAATGGGGAATGGGAAAAAGTTTAATTCATACAAAAAGGTAAACTTTCATGTGTTCTGATTACACAAAGTGAAATATTTCAAACCTGTTTTAAAAATATTGATTTATAGCTCATGAAAAGTCAGAAGTCTAGGATGTCAGTTATTTAATTCAGTGACATTTTATTTATGTAGCGCAAAATCACGACACAAAGCAAGTGAGAATTAAAGAATTTGAATTAAAGCTATCTGAAGCATGTACAAGCTGATATTAATCTTTATTAGGGCTGTCAAAATTGAGAGCAAACAAAACAACTGCTGTATAATGCCCTCCGCTGTCTTTGTGTAATTGTTCACATGACTGCATCACATGACTAACATGCGTCATTGTTTTAGAAAGTCTCAGTTTTCGCGACACAAAAGCACCGTTTTGAAATGTGAGCGTTTTCAAGAGAGTTTTTAACACGCTGCGCTTTCCATCAGCACAAACACAGTACGGGAGGCCCAAGCGGAGAGGAAGCGATGCATTTTCAAACGAAAACACATTAGTGTAGACGCAGCCTCAAGCTCACAGAGGAGCTCAGTACCTTCTTTGCTTGGTGTGAGGCCACCTCTCCTTTCCCCCCTGCCCCATAACTTCATCACTCTCCCTCCAGGAACTTGACGTCAGGAGGAGTTTGAGAGCAGTGAACCCCAGGAGAGCTGCTGACAGGCATTCTCACCAGGCTGTTCAGCCTCTCCCTGACTCGTGCCACTGTTCCCATCTGAAGGCATCCACCATCCCCAAAGAGACTGGTATAGACAGCCTGGATGACTACAGACCTGCAGCACTCACGTCTGTAGTCATGAAGTGTTGATACTGTCTCAGCATGTTAGAGACTGTCTACCCACCTGCCTTGACCCCCACCGGTCCACAAAGTCCACAGAGGATGCCATCACCATCACCCTTCACAGAGCCATCTGGAGGACAGGAAGGACTACGTGAGGATGCTCTTTGTGGACTATGGCAGACATCCTCACCACCAAATCAGACCACCTTCAGATCCCCCCTGCCACCCGCTCGAAGATTTCCTCACTATCCGACCTCAGTCAGTCCTGCTTGGCTCCAAAACTCTCCCGCACACTCAGCACTGGATCCCCACAGGGCTGCGTTCTGTACCTCGTCAGGTTTGCTGATGACACCACTGTGACTGAGGTCATCTCTGATGGAGATGAGACAGCGTACAGGGCAGCAGTAGAGAATTCGTCCCGCTAGAGTGCTTAGAACTTCTGCACATTTTTCTTTGTAAAACAAATGGCGGGGGATGGAAGTTTGCTTTTCTTCATGTTGGAGTTGATCAGTTGCTTTGATAAAGGACTGTGTGGTAACGTCAGGCTACAGAGCCGTGTATTAAACGAAACATTCAATTCAATTCAATTCAATTTTATTTATATAGCGCCAAATCACAACAAAAGTCGCCTCAAGGCGCTTCATAGATACAGAGAAAAACCCAACAATCATATGACCCCCTATGAGCAGCACTTTGGCAACAGTGGGAAGGAAAAACTCCCTTTTAACAGGAAGAAACCTCCGGCAGAACCAGGCTCAGGGAGGGGCGGGGCCATCTGCTGCGACCGGTTGGGGTGAGAGAAGGAAGACAGGATAAAGACATGCTGTGGAAGAGAGACAGAGGTTAATAACAGATATGATTCAATGCAGAGAGGTCTGTTAATACATAGTGAGTGAGAAAGGTGACTGGAAAGGAAAAACTCAATGCATCATGGGAATCCCCCGGCAGCCTACACCTATTGCAGCATAACTAAGGGAGGATCCAGGGTCACTTGGTCCAGCCCTAACTATATGCTTTAGCAAAAAGGAAAGTTTTAAGCCTAATCTTAAAAGTAGAGATAGTGTCTGTCTCCTGAATCCAAACTGGAAGCTGGTTCCACAGAAGAGGGGCCTGAAAACTGAATGCTCTGCCTCCCATTCTACTTTTAAATACTCTAGGAACAACAAGTAGGCCTGCAGAGCGAGAGTGAAGTGCTCTAATAAGGTGATATGGTACTACAAGGTCATTAAGATAAGATGGGGCCTGATTATTTAAGACCTTGTATGTGAGGAGCAGGATTTTGAATTCTGGATTTAACAGGAAGCCAAAACAGGAGAAATATGCTCTCTCTTTCTAGTCCCTGTCAGGACTCTTGCTGCAGCATTTTGGATTAGCTGAAGGCTTTTCAGTGAGTTTTTTGGACATCCTGATAATAATGAAACATCGAAGATTTTTAAAAACTGAATTACTTGATGAAGCGTTGCGGCCCTAATAAATGTGTGTGCGTTATCACTATGGGCAGACCTTTGTGCCATCAGAAACTGAATTTGAATAAGTTAAATTCACATTTAAATTGCTCAGATGTAACTTGAATAAATGCTTTTTAAAACTGAATTTGAACGAGCTTAATTTGAAATTCAATGTATTAGTTTAAAATGATGGTCACTACACTGAAATTGAATTTAATATTTTGAAAATGAATTAATTTGCTTTGAAACTGTATTTTGTCCTTTAAAAATGTAGCTCTCGAATATTTTCAGTTTCACTTCTCACCATTCAATTTCAGTTCCAAAATTCAGTTTTTTGGGGTGAATCTATAGCATCTTGGGCTGATTTAAGACTTCAGAAGTCATTCGTCATGTCGAATGACAGGCAGATAAACTCTCAGGTCGGTAATAAATGTATTACATGTGAACAAGCGTCATGTTAACAAATGAGAGCCGGACAGTAACTTTTATACTTCTTGTAGCTGTTAGCTAAAATGCTAATTTAGCGTAGTTTGCCCTGGATTCAGCTTTGACAAACAAATATGATCGACTGTTTCTAGTAGAATTCCAAAGTTGTCATCTTGTACCCTCTCAGAGTACCCCCTCTGTATGCTTGCAGAGACCCCTACAGTAGGGAAACATGCAAAACAGTGTCCAAACCTTTGTATTTTAGCTTTATTTATGTCTTACACAGCATCCCAACTCTTTAGCTAACTTAATAACTTTAGTTAGTGAATAGTTGAATTCATTAGTGCAGCATTACTGGATCACCTCTGTTTGAAGTGATATGATATACAACTATCACTGAGACAGCAAACTCTGTAAAAAAATAATAATCAACACTTCTCATTCTTTTAATCAGGGGTCGGCAACCTTTCTGATGATGAGTGCCATCTAAAATTTCAGCTTATTCAAATTCAGTTTCTGATGGCACAGGGTTAGGGGGTGAGTGTAGGTCTTTTAAGTGCGCCTTATAGTGTGGAAAATATGGTAAACTTTTTGAAAAAGCAAAAAACATACATTTAATTTTCTGTTAGAGGAGTCTCCAGAGCATTTCACATTGTGCAGCAATGTGTGGCAGAATAAGACAAATTGTAAAAATTATATTAAATATAATGAAGTTATTGAGGTGAGTTTATTTTATTTTTATATATTTTTTTCTTACCACAATTAGATGAAAAGAGCAGAAGATATGAATAAATTAAATTTGTGCTCGTGTCTCTGAAATGGATTTACTTTCTTTGAAGTCAAGTTTCTCTGCTGGCAGGAAGGTGTGTCAGTGTGGTCACTGAGGCAAACTGCTGTTTTTTTTTCTTCCTGAGACCCAGCTGGTGTCACGGTGTTTGAGGTAATTTGGCCCTGATGATGGTTCTGATGTTGAAGTGTTCCAGAACAGCAGAGGTTGAGAGGCTAGAGTCCACATAGGGTCCATTTCTGCTGTTTTTGCTGGTAGAGTGGCTCACATGTTTACCCACTTCCCTTTTCTTTATGTCTTCTAAAGGCAGATAAAAAAAAACAGAGTGACTGCTTTGAACGGATCACTTACGTATTGAAGAAAGGGGCTTTTTTTTTTTTAGCATTATTAAATCAAAATCTGAATCATAAGCAGATTACAAGAACTGAATGAGAATTTTATGTTCTGCCCTAATGCTGTGACTCACCTGGCTTAAGAATGTGTTTGCTGATCAAAGTGATTTTGA